AATGGAAGATTGATTCTGCCTTATTTCTGTATTTAACCTTGAACATGATATGCTTTTCACTGATTAAGGGATTAGAAAATCAATGGAGGAACCATCAACGAATTCAAGAACTAGAACCTTTACATCCTCTGAGATTATTGAAATAACTTCAAATTTCAAAACGATGATTGGGAAAGGAGGATTTGGAGAAGTTTACTTTGGCACCCTGAAGGATGGCACCGATGTTGCTGTTAAGAAACTGCTTTCAACATCAGAGCAATGCCGTAAGGCATTCCTAATAGAGGTTTGGATCACTGTAGTCATTTTTCATAACACTCTATAGCATTGCACATCTTAACAAATAAATTTCACTATAACAAAGCATCATCTGAAAATGCAGGTAAAACTGTTGACTGATGTCCATCAGCGAAACTTGGTTTCTGTAGAGGGATATTGCGATGAAGATGGTAAGGAGGCATTGATATTGGAGTATTTGTCTAATGGAACTTTAAAACAACATTTATCAGGTTTGGACTTTGGATTCACTATCACTAATTTTAACTGTTCTTACGCTTGACTATTTGAACTAAAAGTTTTTGTTTTTCATGCAGAGAAAAGCGGAAGAGTTTTGACATGGACTGAAAGGCTTCATATTGCCTTAGATGTTGCTTGTGGTACTAATTTTTTTGGTGAAAACTTTTTTCAATTTCTCTTGCTTTCTATTTTCAAGGACCTATCAACTAATGTAATACTAGAGTTCTAGGGTTAGAATATCTACATGACCGGAACCCACCAATAGTCCACAGAGATTTGAAACCTGACAACATCTTACTCAATGAAAACATGCACGCCAAGATAGTTGATTTTGGACTATCCAGAGCTTTTGCAACAGAATCTGCCACTCATGTATCAACTGAACATTTCGCAGGCACACCTGGATACAGAGATCCTGAGTAAAACTTTGATTAAATCTTCATCAAGATTAATTATTTTTGTTCAAAATCTTATTGATATAATATTTTTTTTCATTATTTTTTCCATCCAGTTCTTGGAAGATAGGACACATAAGAAAGGAACATGATGTGTACAGCTTTGGGATAATTCTACTAGAGTTGGTCACTGGTAAGCCAGCAATCATAACACGAGACAAAGATGAAAGGATTACCATTATTGAGTGGATTTACAGTTTTACTAAAAGACGGGATATCCGGAAACTGGATATCCAGAAAATCGTTGATCCAAAGCTAAATGATGAATTCAACATCAGTGTCGCGCGAGAAGTAATAAAGATAGCAGTGTCATGCGTGTACCCAATAATTGAAGAAAGGCCTGACGTTAGTCAAATATTGACAAAACTTAAGGAGTGTTTGGATAGAGAGGTGGGTGATGATACCAGCAGACCCAATATCCTAGTCGGACTCATCAGAAAAATAAGACAGAGACAAAAAGGTGTTCTCTTTTCTCTTTTGTTTTATCTTAGAGTCAAGCAAAGGCATTGTTTTTAACAAGAAACATGATTTTCATTTCTTCAGGAGCCATTGTGAAATCAATGGAGGAGCAACAGCCACTGAATTTAGCCATTATGAAAACAATAGAGGAGCAACAACCACTGAATTTAGCCATTATGAAATCAATGGAGGAGCAACAACCACCACTGAATTTAGCCATGATGAAATCAATGGAGGAGCAACAACCACCACTGAATTTAGGGAATGTTAGAATCTTTACCCGCGCTGAGGTTGCTACAATAACTTCAAATTTTAAAGAAGTTATTGAGGAAGGACCATTTAACAAAGTTTACCGTGGCTTTCTAAATGGTGGCGCTCCTGTTGCTGTTAAGATATGGTCTCCATCATCAAAGCAAGAATATCATGAATTCCGAACTGAGGTAGGATCGCTGCAGCCATTTTCTCAACACTCTATAACATTAAAGATAAATACAAATGAATTTCACTTTGACAAAGCATCACTCTTGAATGCAGGTAGAACTATCAAGTCACCTTTGTCACAGAAATGTGGTTTCTGCAGTGGGATACTGTGTTGAAAATGATATCAAGGCATTGATATATGAATTCATGGCTAATGGAAATTTGAGACAGCATTTATCAGGTTTGGATTCACCATATAAGTTAACCATTTTTAGTTTCATTAACTGAACTAAAAATTGTTATCTTACCTTTTTTTTTTTTCCTATAGGGAAATGCAAAAGAATTTTGTGCTGGAAAGAGAGGCTTCAAATTGCTATTGATATCGCATATGGTCCTAATTTATTCAGTGAAAACTTCCTTTAATTTCTTTTGCTTTACTTTCCCCATGAGCTATCAACTAATGCTATGCTAGAATTGCAGGATTGGAGTTTCTGCGGACGGATCGCAAGTTAGCTGGAGTCGGTCTAAAATTGAAATCCAATGTTATCTTTTTAAATGAAAACATGCAAGGCCAGATAGCTGATTTCCGAATAGCTAAAATTTTGAATAAAGAATTTGGTGGAGCTACTGATCCTTACGAGGCATTTGCAGACGACGTGACTCCTCGGTAAGTATTAAACTTACACCAACAGCTATCAGCTAATCCCTCTTAACTTTAGCAAATAGTTCATCTTTTATGTTTTTCATATAGGGGTTGGAGGACGTTGGGACAAATGGACGCCCTGGACCGCTTCGGCCTAATTTTACTAGAGTTGTTAACCGGTTGGCCTGTTACGTATTCCGACTACGAAGATGTTACGTGCTACCCTCATCCGCATATAATTGATCGGGTAAAGCCTTTAATGATGACAGGGAATATCCAAAGACTTGTTGATCCATTTTTGCCAGGAAAATTCGATATCAACACTGCTTCAAAAGTCGCTATCAACACTGCTTCAAAAGTCGCAAAATTAGCAATGTCCTGTGTATCGGGATCTGCAGAGCAAAGGCCAGACTTAAGTCATGTGATTGTAAAACTCAAGGAGTGTTTGGCATTAGAGATGCATTCCCAACAAACCAAGGGGATACAATCGTCACGGGAATCTGACCAACAAACGGAGGGGATACAAATCGGCGAGCAAGAATTACAAGATTCAGATGAATTCTACTTAAGTCCTCGATAGGTAATAGTAAAGGCAAAGGATTTTCTATTTTTAAGTACACCGACATTTTCTGTATGAATTCCAAAATGAATATATATATATATATATATATATATATAAATGTTCACCAACAAAACTTTGCTCAAGCCTTGGTTAGTTTTTCTTGTGTCAGTGCATTAAACACATTGTCAGAGGTGAAGCATTTGGCAATACCGAGCCCTGATTGAGGCTCCAAGCAGACATGTATAGGCGGTGAAGGTGTTGATCCAAAGGTGTTCAGCTATACAATTGGGAATAACAACTCTTCATTTCCTCTATACTCTCGCTTCACTACAAGGTTTATATGCAACGGTGAAGGTGTTGATCCAAAGCTCAAATTTAAAAAACTATCAATTTATATTTTTATAACATATACTATTATACAAAATAGTATTAATATCGTTTAGTTGATTACATTATCAATAAAATCTTTACCTTCATTGTGGAGTTTGGATTAGTCTAATTATTTACTTTTCTAAATGAGTGCTTTTAACTTTTAATGTTAAAGTAGTTCTCGAATGTTTTAGTTATTGTAGAATGAGTTTACCAAGTGCTAATGAAGTATCACATTTGACTCTTTTTAAGAGTAGAAGCAAGATTTTAGATAGTATTTTTATGTGTGAGAAGATATTGAAAGTTAATAAATTGAGATATAGCTGGGTTTTAATTTAAGTAGTCTTATATGCTATTTTTCTGCTTCTATTAAATTTGTAAAGCAATGGCTTCATAAAATTAATTTTACATGAGATTCTAATTTAATTATTTGTTTTCTTCTTAGGTGGTAAATGTCTAGTACAAAAGAACTTGCTCTCCATCAATTTAAATTCCAAAATGAAAATATTTAGTTTACTTTAGCTGGAATTCCCCATACCCATAAGGACCCCTCATTTCCCCAGGACGGTGACAGAGGGCATTTTTTGTCACCATAAAATATATATATATATATATATATATATATATATTTGCAAAGATCCTCGCACCTACCATTGCCAGGGACAAGGGATGAAGAGGAGGTCCCCAAGGCCAAGGCTCTTTGCCGTTGCCATCCTCACATGAAAATTTTTAACTTAAAACATTAGGAGGCTAAATTCAATAAATAATCTATTAACTATATAGTTTATTTCAGTTTAGTTTAGAAACAATTTTTTCTTTCAAAATGATCTATAAACTATCAATTTTGTTTCAAAATAGTCTACTTAACAAACATTCCGTTAACTGACTAACAGAATTCTTTCTAGCTGTTGACAAGCTGCCCGTAAACTTTTGAAAAATGTTAAATTTAGTATATATATTGGTAATATTTTGTTTTTAAAGTTTAAATTTTATGTCAAATGTAATAATTAATTAAGATTCTGATTTTAATTTACAACAATCAATATTATAATTTAAATTTTAGTATTTCTTAAAAAATTAATCACTATTAAATTATATAATTTAAATTTTCAAGTAATTTTAATTATATGTGAGTGCTCATTTAATTAAATTAAATTTTGGAAAGGTTTATTCATTAAAAATATTAATATTTAATAATAAATTAATTTTTTTAGAAATTATAAAATTTAAATTATAATATTGATTATTGTAAATTTAAATTATAATATTGATTATTGTAAATTAAAATTAGAATCTTAATGAATGTAAATTGAAATTTCATCTTGGTTAATTATTATATTTAGCATAAAAATTTGAATTTCAAAAACAAAATGTTGTAAAAAGTAAAAATATATATACCATATTTAACATTTTTCAAAAGTTTAAGGAGCAACTTGTCAACTGCTAAAAAGAATTTTTGTTAGGTAGTTATCGAAATGTTTGTCAAGTAGACCATTTTGAAACAAAATTAATAGTTTATAGATTATTTTAAAAGATAAAATTGTTTCTAGACTAAATTAAAATAAATCACATAATTAATAAATTATTTATTGAATTTAGCCAACATTAGGATATACCAAATGCCAACAAGTTTTGTTAGATATTGATGAGAACCCAATCCTTGAGTCCCCATGGTTGGGTTTGGATTGCCTAACGACCCCCTAACATGTAACCAGTCTTTGAAATGTAGATGTATATTATCAAAATGAACCACTCAGTAATTTAATTCCATTGTAGAAATATAATTCCTTTTTTTTTTTTTTAACATTTTACATCCATTTTATGACTTGATGTAATAATTTAACTTTCAAGTTTGTAGGCCTCCTATTTACCCTTTCGTCTTAGGTCTACTCACTTGGAAAGTTCATCTTGCTTAATGGCTGCTCAATTGGAAATTTGTTACCCCCATTTATTATTACCCTTTCTCAACTTCCATCTTCATGACAAAGCCACAGTTGGGTCACTTCAGTGTCCTTTTATAAGAAGTATCCTTTTATAAGGCCTAAGACACAGCTCAAAGTTCCCTGTTGAGCAAAATATATGGACAGGTATGATACAAGAGCAATGTTATTGCTCCTTGTATTTGCATTTCTAAGCGAAGGGTATGCTCCAAACTCAGGTGCTCTGCTCTGTCCATCATAACCTTCGGTGACTCTACAGCAGATGTTGGTAAAAATGACTATATCTCCCCACCCTTTTCAAGGCTAATTACCCTCCTAATGGTAGGGACTTCATCAATCACAAACCTACTGGCAGGTTTTGCAAAGGA